ACCCTCTAAATACTGAGTTTGAGTTGTATTGAATTTTACTTTCATAATTCACCTAGATGATTTTTAAGCCACATTTATAAGGTATAGAAAAAAGCAAAATAAAATTGTTCATTAAAAAAATTACATACTTTTGCTCTAATTTATACCAACTATAGTTTATTTTCTCTCCACAAACTTTGGCATTTATCATAGTAACAAATTTAGACTAATTGCTTTCACCAAAACCTGCAATGGTTCTTGTGGCAAAATCAATGTTAGGCCAAAACTTGATCTTTCTGAGTTGGCTGTTTTTATTCCATAACTAGCACATGGACACTAATTACATCCCTTATCTAAGTCAGTTGTTTCAAAAATTGTGCTGCTACTCATAATAAGGTTCTGCATGAGAAAAAGTGTTGAGTGCAAGATCATCAACAGTGCTAAAAGATACCCCAATAATAATGTTAAAAAATAGTCTTAAGAGCCAGTTGACAGTGTTAGCTAACAATATACATTTTTAGCTTCAATTTTTTTCTCTTGCGTTTTTCTTTCCGCTTTTGTCTAAAACTAGTAAATGAATTTTAAGTAACAAAAATATGCCAAAGGGCTATGCAAGGTCTAACATTCCATATTTCTAAATAGGAAGAGAGCATATACATTTGAAACACATACTTGCGGAGTTCCCGTTGCTCTTCCCATTGTTTCTGTTTTATTAGTTTTTTCATTTGTCGCTTAGATATTGGTTCACACCCTTCACCTAATCTTGGCTTCTGGCTTTCCTCTTGATGTTCATTTATGCCTTGCTTTTTGTCAACATTAGAAGTTTCAATAAATGCTGGCAACATTTCAGATGACATTATTTGGTGCCTCTGAAAAACAACTTTTGACATGAACAGATAATTTACAAGCACAAAAAAGTTAAAAAACTCAATCAATATGATTAAAGTTAAACCATACAATAAATAGAAATAAAACTTTAGACAAATAAATGTCATTTATTGGTAACTATCATTTAAATACCATTTAATATAAATTAAATATCATTCATCAGCAATGCTAGCAAAGGTCTAAAGAAATGGGGTGTTTCATATACTATTAGTAGTCATGGTACAATTTTTCCAGAAGGCAAGACATACATGTTTTAAGAGCTTTAAAATCTCTATTTAGACACCCTTTGACCCAGTAATTTATTTCCTTAAATTTCTGTAAATAAATCAGACATGCACACAAAAATGTGCACAAGAGTACATGCAATGAATGCAGTGTTAAAAAACAGTGAAAAGTTAGAAACCTCCTGAATGTCAGTGAAAGGAAACTAAACAATTATGGTTAATCTATAACATGGGCAAGGAATACTAAGCAGCCAGTAAAACATATATATCCAAAATTATTTAGTAAGGGGAAACGGTTATACGTTAAATAAAACCAAATAAAACAATATATACGTTACGACCAACTTTTTAAAAAAGGTATACACACACACAAGTTTAATTCTTACCCATGGTTTTCTACATTTTCTAAAGTTATGTAATGAAAATGTTTTTAATAAAACAAAAAATCTTAAAAAGAGATGAAAAGCATCTTTTCTATAGTCTTCTTTAATGCTGTAGAATGAGGGAGACTATGAAAAGACAGAACTGATTTTTAAAACTGAAATCAATAACCAGGAAACAAATTCACTTGATACAAATTAAAAATAGGGCAATCTGAAAATGACTTTAAAATAAATTTGGCTGAAACATTTCAGAGAGGTCATAAGGGAATAATAACTATAATAACAAAACAGAAAATTGTGGTATAAAAGCAGGCTTTACTAAAAGGTAAAACAAGAATCTGAGAAAAAGAACAATTTGAAAACTAGGAAATGAAGACATAAAAACTTCAATAGAAGAGACAAACTCCAGATTACCTGGAGTCCCAAGAAGTAACTGATGACTTAGAAGACATCCTGACAATCTGACTCAGGATGCAGACAAAAATCGAACAGAAAAACAATATGGAGGAGCAGTAAAGACTTGGATAACAGAATGAGAGAGATAAAGGAAAACAAGGTAATTAGAGATAAACATATAGCCTTGAATGCACTTTTTTTTTTTTTTTTTTTTTTTTTAAGCTAGAAAGTAAGGTAAGCACTCAATTTAAGAAACTGGAGGTAGGGAAACTGAATAAGCCTAAAAAGACTACATGGAAAAAAATTTTTAAAATATATATTTTGATTCCCTGGATCACTTTTATTTTCCTTTCTTTCAATACACAATACATTAAATAAAATTCAGCAATGCAGGTATCCAAAACAATACCGGGTGGAGGAAACTTAAAAGCACAATTAAAATTCACAGAAAACAAACTGCTCTCTTCATGAAATAATAATATTCCAAGAGAGCACATTTCTGTTTATCAGTGGCATTATTTTCAGTTAATTCTCTATTTTATTCAAAAACTGCACATGTTGATTACTTCTATGTGAAGATTTTTTTTTTTTTTTTTTTTTTTTTTTGAGACAGAGTCTGGCTCTGTGGCCCAGGCTGGAGTGCAGTGGCCCTATCTCGGCTCACTGCAACTTCCGCCTCCCGGGTTCAGCTGATTCCACCACCTCAGCCTTCTGACTAGCTGGGATTCCAAGGGCGCGCCACCATGCGTGACTAATTTTTGTATTTCTAGTACAGAAGGGGTTTCACCACGTTGGTCAGGCTGGTCTCGAACTCCTGACCCTGGAATGCAGTGGCCTGATCTCGGCTCACTGCAACTTCCGCCTCCCGGGTTCAGGCGATTCCACTGCCTCAGCCTTGTGCGTAGCTGGGATTCCAGGCGCGCGCCACCATGCCTGGCTAATTTTTGTATTTTTAGTAGAGAAGGGGGTTTAACCACGTTGGTCAGGCTGGTCTCGAACACCTGACCTCGTGATCCGCCCGCCTCGGCCTCCTGAAGTGCTGGGATTACAGACAAAAACCACCAGGCCCGGCTTACGTGAAGACTTTTTAAAAAGCAATTAATGTTTTACAGTTTATGTACACCAGGGGGAGCATTTGCTTTTCCTATCCAAGAAGTCTGCAGTTAAATTTAATTTGACCTGTCATAGTACAGCAATGTTTCAGTCTCCCAAATACAAGGAAAGGTGATGAGCTGGTCAACATCTTCATCTTCATCATCACCATCATCATCACCATCATCTTTTTAAAAACTATTCCTAATTAAGAAAACACACTGTACTAAGTGAAGTTTTTAGGCTTTAAACAAGCCAGGTGCACTGAGACAAATGGAATGCAACAAAAATGATGCCAGCTTGATATCTTATAAATTATTCCTTATAGTATACTTTACAAAGATATCTACCAACTCGCACTGTCTACACTATACAATAAGTATAATGTATATCTACACTGCACTATGTACCAGCGTGTTCAGATTGAATGTTAAGCAAAACATAGCATTTTATTAGGTATACTTGCTTTCTAATCGTTTTAGTTTGGGCAATAATTTATAAAATTCTGTGGCAGTTGTTCATTCCTTTCTCACATGCAGTGATGCTCATCGTACATTTTCATTCATTCAACCAAGTTCAACAAATGTTCAAGAATGTATTTTACAGTAACTATAAAAATATTTGTGTGAGGTCGGGCGCAGTGGCTCATGCGTGTAATCCCAACACTTTGGGAGGTCGAGGTGGGCGGATCACCTGAGGTCAGGAGTTCGAAACCAACATGGCAAAATCTCGTCTCTACTAAAAATACAAAAATTAGCCAAGTGTGGTGGTGGACGCCTGTAATCCCAGCTACTCGGGAGGCTGAGGCAGAAGAATCCCTTGAACCTGGGAGGCAGAGGTTTCAGTGAGCCAAGATCGCATCACTGCACGCCAGCTAGGGCAACAGAGCAAGACTTCGCCTCCTATATGTGTGTGTGTGTGTGTGTGTGTGTGTGTGTGTGAAATTTTACTTTTGCATAAAATTTTAAAAATCTGTAGGGTTCATTTGCAGATATAGGTTATCAGGTGGGCTTACAAACTATCTTACATTGTATTTACATATCTTAGCACAGCTTAAGGCAAGGAGGATACATCCTAAATCAATGAGCACCAAAAGAAATAAAAGTTTTTTAAAACGGCATTAATTTATGGATTGGGATAAAATAAATATTCGTCGTAATTTATGACAGTCTCCCTTTCAGAAAAATCTCAACGAATGTGGGAATAATGCAGATTAGAATTAATGACTTGACAGCAATAGCAAAAGAATGTCCTTTTTTTTTTTTTCTTTTTTTTTTTTTTTTTGGGGGACCCAGTCTCGCTAGGTCGCCCAGGCTAGAGTGCAGTGGCAAAATCTCGGCTCATTGCAACCTCTGCCTTCCGGGTTCAAGCAGTTTTCCTGCCTCAGATTCCTTAGCCGGGATTACTGGCATGCGCCACCACGCCCGGCTAATTTTGTATTTTTAGTAGAGACGGGGTTTCACCATGTTGGTCAGGCTGGTCCCGAACTCCTGACCTCAGGTGATCTACAACACGCCTTACCCTCCCAAAGTGCGGGGATTACAGGCGTGAGTCACCGCGCCTGGTCAGGAATGCCCTTTTTAAAGACATGCTGGCTAAACGTGGAGCAGCGAAAAGCCCTTTGTTCACTTCAGTTGTCAAGCCTTTTGAGCAGAGGGTTGGGAATGCAAGGGGCAGAGGAGATTCATAAAGTGACAAGTAATGTGTCGCCATCCTCTTTATATCTCTAGAAAAATTCCCAAAATTTAAAGTAGTTCAGTGAAATCAAGTAACACTTCGATCTTTTTAAAACTGTCCTCAGCTCACAGCACCTGCAGCAATTTCCCCTCGGGCTTTCTACATTTCAGAGGGTTCAGTCACGTCAGCCCTTCGCAGGAAAAATGAGGTAAGGCACCTTTAAAGAGGTAACGCCCACGGTCTCTGGCCACGAAGTGGCAGGGTCGTAACACGCTTTCCGGCCCTTTAGAGTACAGATTTCCCTCTCATTCTTTGCAAACTCACTTTTAACATACTACGGGCCGATGGCAACCCCAAAACACACGCCGACGAAGAGCGCACAACCACAGGGGCGGAGCCTCGCCCACTCTCCCTTCTACGCTCCCAGCCAGCGAACGCATTTCAGAGGCGGGATTAAGCTGCTGCTGGCGAACCAGGAAGCAGCTGGGTAGGCCGCGGGAGGCGCCTATCAACGACGTCATTTCCTTCGGCAACAGCGCAGCAGGCAACCACTTCCACACCACTGCTCCCCTCTACCCCGGAAGCCCTTGTTGGTAGTCGGGGGCTGCATGGCACGCACCCCTTTGCGCCCAAATAATATCATAGTGCGGGGGAGCGCCAGCCAGTGCAGGACACTTACCGAGATGAGGAGTTGATAGGGAAGTGAAATCTCAGAAAGAAAGCCTTTCTAGGTTGGCCTGGTTACCGCTCACGCTTCCTTCCACAGAAACTTCAATTCCCAGAGGCAGGGGCGGTAGTTACACAGTGGAGGCTACGGCGGCTGCGTCTTACGTCATCGAACTGCGCCAATTTAGAACCCGCAATGGGAGAAAGGGGAGGGGTTTATGCGGGGCGGGGTGTGGAGTTAGGGTTTTGGGAGCGGGAGGTAGTTACAGTGATGTCTGTTTTTTCACGTTCAAGAAGTAAGTGTGTACCTGCAGACATGTATTTATTCATTCATATATTCTTGTGAGTATTGGGTGGAGGAATTAAGATAGTCCCACCGTTAAAAATGCAAAATAGCGAAGAAAGGCTTGTAATTTGTCTGTGTTCAAAATGAAACGCATCTCTTGCCTATATTATTTTTAATTTATACAGCAAATTACCATATCACATGATTTTACATAGCTCAAGTAGAAAATTAAATTCGAAAAGTGAGTCAGATTCACAATAAAATGCATTTAAATTTAGAATCTGTAAGGCTTTTTTATGGCTGAAGTAAAACAGTCATAACTTTACTCTTTATTCATTCCTTGAGCTATTTTTCCTATGCTGTTTTGCAGAACATCAGATGACATTTCATTGTTTATAATACTTGACCTTATATAATCTTTTTGCTATATATAGACCATGTCAACTGAGAGAGAAATGAAACACAATCCCATAGATTGTCGTTTTCTATTTAGTTTTTTCCCCTCTACTTCTAATAGGTGATTATTGCAGAATTTGAAGATAAGAATGAGGTTTGCATCTTTGAATAGAAGACTGGCTTGTCATATAGAAATAATTTTGAAGTAAATTATCCTTGATGCTTGAAGGTATTTGAACATGTTTAAAGGCTTCAATGAATAGAAAATTAAATCCAGAATTTGAGGTTCTCTAAAAGAGCCGAAACTTCTTTGACTTTAGTTACAAAACTACAGTCTTGCCATAAGCCCTTAAATTTTACTTGAAACACTATGTCAGCTATAACACTGTTGTGAGTGCCTCTTCTGTTTCTTCCTCATCTCAAACCTAAAAGATCTTTGTTAACTAAGCACTAGCAAAAAAGTCTGGATCCACTTCTGATCTGTTAGTAGGGCTTCTTTTTTCAGCTGCCTCCATATCAGGGCAAAGAGTAGCTCAGGGAGGATTAGTAATTGGATATGTAGCCCTTCACATGTAGGTCATTAAATTCAGGCTGGCAAAGTAATGTGCCAAATCTTTCCACAGCTGTTCAGTTGCTTCTATGGGATCTGTTTTATAAATAATTATACATTTTTTTCAGAGTTAATACCTGGCATCCTTAGATATTTTAAGCAAAGTTTTAAAGCAAAAAAACAAACAAAAAAACCAAAAACAAACAAAAACACTTCATATTCTAATAATGAAGTCAATAAATTTTCTTTTGACATGGACATCTAACTTTGTAGTCACTTGGTGCAAAATTTAAAATGATTCTAGTATTAATCCAAAGTAAGCACCAAAAAAGCACCAGCAAAAAAGTCAATTTAAAAAAATTGAAACATGGAAAGTTTAAGAAGGTGAAATCATATGAAACAATATTTTCATTGATTTGTAAAATTTATGTGTTTATTTATTTGACACATGTATCGAGTTCTATACTTTTTGTGTTAGTACTGGTGATACAGAAATGACTGTCATCCTTAAGGATGTCCTTAAGGAATCCTTAATCTAATAGGGGAGCCAGCAGTGAATAAATACAACATGTACTTGAGATGCTTGTACTTTGAAAGAAGCAACTAAATGCTCCTTGAGGCAAAACATAGTTTTGGAGATTAAATAATTTTGTTTCATCTTGGAAAGTAAGTAGGAGTTGTACAGGTGTCAGAACAGTAAAGAAGTTTAAGATTTGGGAACAGTGAAAGCAAAGAAGCGTGTCATAGTTTTGCACATGACTGAAAAGCTGTGGATAGAATGAGGAAGAAGGAGGAGATAAAAACCCTAAGGGCTTCTCTGACTTGGACAACTGTAGCAATGCAGTAACATTACCGAGGTCATTTAGGGAATACTGGAAGAAAAATAGGTTTTGAAAAAATAGTTTTGTTTTAAAATATGTAGATTCTGGGGAGTCTGCAGGACATCTGAGTAGAAACAGATTTTAAAAAGAATGAGCACATACTTGTAGTTTAAGCCAATATAAGAGGTTGAACTCAAAGAGATACTACTCCGTGGGTTACAAATGCATACTATCTACGGGGACTGGAAGGTAGCAAATGAGAGAAGCGTCTGGAAGCAAAGTATTACAAAACTGAGAGTGCATTTCCTCTTTAATCAGGGTGCAAGTTCCAAGAGAGAATATGAGCCTAATGACACCAGAATATGAGCCTAATGGCATCATTTTTTTAAGAACAGCCATAAATATGAAATCTGGTTTTAAAGTGTTGGCAGCTATTTAGTTTGTTTTAAAATACTGAGCAGACTAAATAAAATACGTCTGTGGGCCATATTCAGACAATTGATAACCAGTTTGTTAAATTGGACCCTAGTTGATAGAATAAGAAGGAGGCCACAGATAGAACTGGAACTTTAGAATATAAAAATACAGTAATAACTATGATTATGAACCCCTCCATAACTTTGATTTCAAAATATTGGGCAATCATTACAAATTTCATTATTTTAAGCTTAATTCTGATTTTAAGTCTTAGGATACTCTTCAACAAGTTGTGAGTGAGGAGATGTGGAAGTAGAATAACACTTGTGAGTACTTTAATTTCAGTCTAGGAAAGCCAAAAAGAAACCCATTTTTAAACACGACTTGAAAGGTAGCTAAAAGGAAGAATTGACCACTCATCTATAATCATTTCAACCTGCATTTCGACCGACTCCAAAAATACAGAAAAAAAGTTTAAAATGTATTTGTACATTTACATATACATACATATTAATCATATCCTCCCAAGTAGTACATGAATATTGAAGACTCTGGGAAGATGATTAGAGAGGCAGTGTAGTCTGTGAACCTCCTGAATCTCCTCATAAAAACAGGTAAAGCATCTAGGATAGAAAATAACAGTCCCAGCCGGGCGCGGTGGCTCACGCCTGTAATCCCAGCACTTTGGGAGGCCGAGGCGGGCGGATCACAAGGTCAGGAGATCAAGACCACGGTGAAACCCCGTCTCTACTAAAAATACAAAAAATTAGCCGGGCGCGGTTGTGGGCGCCTGTAGTCCCAGCTACTCGGGAGGCTGAGGCAGGAGAATGGCGTGAACCCGGGAGGCGGAGCTTGCAAATACAATCCCAGAAGATAGCTATAACATAACTAGGTGAAAAGGAATCCCTACAAACCTCACAATGTGAACAGGAAGGAGAAAACCCAACTTAATATCGGCAACTGTGTAGGAGAGAGTGGTGGGAAAACAACAGATCATCTGAAGACCCTCAGAATGGGAAGTCCCCAAAACTGCCAAACAAATAATCACTAAAAAACAGAGGAAACCAATGTGAGGTTGGCGGCAAAACTGGCAGGTTGTTCATCTGACTCTAAGCTCAGCTAAGTGTGAAGGAATGAGCAGGAGGGTCTGAAGCTGCTGGAGGGACGTGAGGCCTGTGAAGTCTCAAAACCAACAAACTGGATCTCCATTCTTGAACGTAGCCCAACACTAAGGAGAAACTGCTGAAAGTTGAATCCAAATTGAACAAAACAGAGACAATGCGGCCAAGAAAAAAGCAGATGCAGATAAAAGTGGAGAATAGAGAGGAGACAGATCTCAGAAAATATAAAGACACATGTGTGTCATTTTATGAAATACTAGAAAAGGAACCTCTAGAGCCATGAAACTGGAAAAGCTATTCTACCCAATCCTCCCTCTTAAAAATACAGCATAACTTAATTAGCCTAAAAATGCACCACAGAAAAGGATCGTGGTCGAATTTCATTTAAAGTTGCTATAATAGAAAAAAGAATATGAAGCCAAAAAAAAAAAAAAAGTGGATGAAAACTATAATGCAGTATTTCAAAACAGCAAATTTTAAATAATAGAAAATATTGAAGAACAACATGAAAATGATTCAAAAATGAATATTTGAGGATGAATAACAGAACTCAGAAAATAAGAAATATACAAAGCACACCCATATATTCACCATTATACTGGAAGTTCTAACCAGTGCAATAAGATTTAAAAATCAAATAAAAGGAAGAAATAAAACCATTTATAGATGACATGAATATCTATCTAGAAAATCCCCAAAAATGTACCAAAAAAGACCCTCACTAAACTAATAAACAATTATAGTAAGGCCTTGTGATATAAGGTTAACATGCAGAAGTCAATTGCCTTCCTATACAGCAGCAGGGCAGAACTGGAACTTGAAATTAAAAAGCAACAACCCCTCCAAAATGAAATAGGTATAAATCTAACAAAATTTGAACAGAATCTACATGAAGAAGTTGCGAAACCGATGAAAAAAGTCAAAGAAGATCTAAATAAATGGAGAGATATGTATTCTTAGATTGAAAGACTTGATGCTGTAAAAATGAGCCAATCTTGGTGTCCAGATCTTGGTTTCTAGTACAGTTCTTCAATAAAGGAAACCAGGGATTCTTGGAGAAGTGACTGATTCTAAGATTGGAGTAAAAATGTACAAGATGAGCTGGGAGCATCTTGCAGTGCCAGATAATAAGGAGATGCTAAAAACCAAAACCAGAATCAGAACCCAAACAAAACA